CGCGGCTTTGGCCGGTGCCACCCGTGGGTGCCGGGGATGGGCACCGGGAGGACGGGGCTGTCCGGGGCTCTCCGGCTGCCCGGGCTCGCAGCTACCTCGGGGTGCTCTGGGCAGGGCTGGCTCCGGACCCTGGTTCCTCGGTGGGGTCGCTTCATTTGTCTCTCCATCCTCTCTCCGTGCCCTCCCGGTGCTTTCCCCGTTTTTCCTTCGCGTGTCCGCGGCGCCGGCAGCCCTGGGCCCTTCCCCATCCCGGTCCGTGTGCGTGGGCGAGCGTGGAGCCCTCATCCCTCGGGATTTCCTCCTCTTCCTCCCYGTGCTCCAGAGCTGAGTTTGTGTCTCCTTCGGCCCTTAGGTCTGTGCTCCCTCCCCGCTGTTTTACTTTACATCCCTAAGATTTTGTAAAGTATTTTCGTGCACTTGATCTCCTCGGTTAATAATGGCATTGATGTGGGTGCTAGGAGTAGTTTGTTTCAGTCCATACCGATTTTTTTTTTTTTCTCTCTCTCTCTCTTTTAGAGTTTTTACGGTTTCATGTAAGCAGTTCATGTAAATATTGTGAGCATTACAGGTCATGCAGTGTTGTAACATTTTAAGAAATGTTGCACCGACTTTACGATTAAAAAACTGGTCACTCATACTTGAATTTTGCCCATAGAGCCATTTCTTTCTCTTTGCATTAATGCATAATCTACTTTTTTGACGGAGGCCCAACCCTTCTTTCTACCTTATTATTTTTTGTTTAATAAATCTCTATTTTTTCTAATAGAAGACTTAAAAATGAAAATTTAAAAAAAAAAAAATACTTTTTGCCTACTTTCTAATTTAAGAGAGAATTCCTATATTTAAAAGGTGGAAAAAAAATAATAAACAAAACAAAAAAAAAATAAAATAAAATTACTCCATTGTGGAAAGTTGAACACCAGTGGATTTGTCATTCCCATGGCACAATCACCCGAAAGTGGCTGAGTACAGCGAGCCCACGACGCYGATCAGGACCTCGGTAGATTTAGGGAACGCCGTGATTCCTTGAGGATGTAAAGTGTTGCATATTCTTGTCTATTTATTTATTTATTTATTATGCTTTTCTTTTGCTTAAGTGGGTGACAATGTGGTTGAGTCATTCAGATGACGTTCAAATTAAAGGAGATGTTCCTCTTTCTGTTATGGTGCGTTTTGTGGACACCATAAACGAAACGAAACGAAAATATTTTCATTTCTTTCGATGGATTTGCTTCGTATTTTCAACTTCTGGCTGGTGTCAGCCACGAAAAAAAATAATACCCACATAGTTTAAAAATTTAAAAAAAAAAAAGCAAAAAAAAAAACCCTAACCCACCCCACCTCTGATGTCCCAGGTCTGTTATCCTCACAGTCTAAGGTTTTAGGGGTTAAAAAGGAACTTCAAATTCCAAGGTCTTTCCGAAATCATCTTTGCAGAAGGTTTATAAGAAGTCATGTGAAATCCTTTTGGAGTCCCTGAGTTTGATGGTCTAGAGATATTAGAGGGCTCGTGGTGGACTGAATTACCTTAGGACTGAATTACCTTTCTTAGCTACAGTTTGTATTTTGCTATGTAGGGTTGTAATGTGAGAATTCCAGAAGAGCCGTAGCATAAAAGTGCTTTTCTATTTTTTAAAAAAACCCATTCTAGTCTTACTAAGAATTAGAGAATTTTTTTAATATCAGTTTTGTAATTTTTGATAAAGTTGTCAATATTACGATTAAATCACCAGAAAAAACAGTTCCTGTGCTGTTCTCTTCGGGGCAGGGACTTTGTCTTCCGACGGATTATTCGATGCCACGATGGGATGCCCGCTCCTAAACGGGGCCGGGGGCGYCGCTGTGGAATCCCAACAGCCCCCCAGAGTTTGTGGGGCTGAGTTTGATCCGTGAGAGCCGAGARAATTCCCGGTGCTGCCCTCAAACGCGCTCCGGGGAGCATCCCACGGGTAAGTCGGGCCAGCCCGGGAGTGCTGCTCATCCCAAACCGAGCACATCCACCCTCTGATGGGATCAACCTCCAGGATCCCCCAAAAAACACCCCCTGCTCCGAGCAGATTGCCAGAATCACAAACAGATCCTTCAGTTCCATCCTCACCGTTCRCACCGGGGTCCGGTCACTGATGGAAAAACACTTGGAGGCTTAAAAACAAAAAAAAAAATCCTACAAAAAATGAATTCTCAATTCCCGGGCCAACAACCTGGGAGCTGCAGGGAATTCCAAGCCCCCRTTCCTGCTGTCAGGTGATCCTTGTTTTCTCAAGGATAAAGAGCAATCCCACATTTTTGTATGGCCATAAATATTGCCCAGCCTCAGAATCCCATAAATTCTGCCTGAAGGTGCAATTCCCAAAAATTCCCCTCAGCCTCACGTGGCCCTGGGGTAGAATCTCTCCTTCAGCAAAAATGGTGACACTTTGTGGGAAAACTCAGCAGTGGAGCTCAGACCCCTCATTTCTGTCTGCCACACCTTGGCTGTCAACGCTTCAAAGCAATTCTTGTTCTGTTAAAAAAAAAAAAAAATTAAATAAAAAATCCGAGATTTGATTTGGAATCTCCCCCGTGAGAGAAGATCGTGGAGAGATTCCGTCGCTCACGTTTTGAGATAAGGGTTTGTCTGTAATTGAGTGTCATCCCAAAGGGAGAT